ATCCTGCACGGCTTGGCCCTGATCCGGTTCCAACCCAAAAATATGCGGCTGAAAAATAAAAAATAATAATAGTAATATTATTATTATTAATAATAATAATAATAATAATAATAATAATAATAGTAATAGTAATAATAATAATAATAATAATAATAATAATAATAATAATAATAACAATAACAATAACAATGACAATAACAGGTCCCACGAAACTGCATTGTGCAGTTGAATTCACGAAAGCAGATTTATGAGGAATGCACGTATTTCCTAGCCCCGTCTATTGAATTAATGGCTAAATTGTTTGGTTCATTATATGAATTTGAAACTTACTTACCCGGACCACCACCATCGTAATCAAGATTAACAAACTTTACAGTTTGCGAGTCGAGAAGTATCACGTTATCTGCGCGTACGTTATGAACACGTGGTGTAAAACCAAGCACTCCCAGAGACACTGGCGATGGTGCGACGAAGTCTGACGCAATGAGAACTTGTCCAAAGTTGGCCTGTGTATACATTATACAAAATATGCGTTATAAACAGAGCATATTAACTTACCTTACACGTATTCAGTTTGAGTCTAAGAGTCCCCTTTCCGGCCATCTAGAGGTGCCATAATCATAAATTTTCTTACCTCAGCCCCAACCATGGTAGTACAGACCCGCCCTCCATCTGTGAAAGTCCCTCTCTGGGCCCCTCAATTTTAAATTCCTGGATCCGCCACTATATGCGCATATACAAGTGCACAATCATTGACCATGTTGATGTTGATGATGATGATGATGACGATGATAACAATAATATTTAGGATACTAAAATGATAATATGATAATGATAAAATGAACGCACAGCAAATCGGCGACACCACACGGAAATCCACTTGAAATCAGTGATAACACGACCCGTAGGAAGGTTTATAATTAGGTTGGCATTTGTATATGCGCCTAATTTGTCCACGCTGTAAAAAATGATAAAACAAGAATTATTTTTATTTCTTAATTTAGAATCAACAATATAAAAACAATTTGTAGAGTACGGTTGTGGGTCTATGGTTGTTTTGTGTGTGGTACTGTAAAAGCAATAAGTTTATTTATGTATTTATTATTTATTTATTTACATATTTATTTATTCAGTGTAATGAAAAAGAACCCCCTGTGTATTAAGGCCTGCATACACAAATTCAATAGAAGCAACCTTTAAAATCACATGGGCCAAAACATTGACTACTTACGCTGAAAATGCGTCCGCCCCATTATCAAGTTTCATGTAAAAAATACCTGTGATTTGCCCATACGCATGTAATATGTGACATCCTGCCCATAATTTTATGGGCAACA